CCAGAATTTACAGTTACTATCTCTGTTAAGGGGTTATCTTATAAGCTTATATCATTTTAAAAATGGAAGTCATAAACCAGGCCCAAAGAAACATAGGTCCCATGGTTTCCCTTATTTGCAATTACTAGTATATGTCTGAGACAATCAGAAAAGGTTAGATAAGATGATGTTAGGCGAAATGAACCCTAAGATAAGGACACAAGTGGTTTTTTTCTTGCTTACTATTGTTTCTAACATATTTATAAGGTGATTGTTTTGTTGCTTTGTATGTCCCTCCCTCATGGTATAAGCCTTGTTTTCACTGTATTTGATGTTGGTTTAATTTGTGGAGGGGAAGGGAAAAAAATGTTTAAATAGGAATACAGGTGGACCCATTGCAACAATGAGATGTACAAGATGCTATGTCGAAAAGTGAACTTTACAAGTTTGGGGGTGGGAGGGGTAGGGAGTAGAGTGTAGTCTTGGAGATGGGAGGGCAGGGATGGTAGGGGAAAAACAAAAAGGAGGAAGCAACAATGCTTGATAAGAAATGTACTCATTACCTTGCTCATGTAATTGTAACCCCTGTGTACGGTATTTTCACAATAAAAAAACTTACTAAAAACAAAAAATGGAAGTTCATTTTATCATGGATTTAGAACCATTTAGTATGTTTCACTCCATTGCCATTAATCTCTGTTGACTTAAATAATTTCACCTTTTTCCTCTTGGCTGAAGGTTAGCTCATAAGTTTTTTTTTTTTTTTTTGCTGTTCCTAGGGCTTGAACTCAGTGTCTGAGCCTCTTTGTACTTAAGGCTAGTGCTCTACCAGTTGAGCTGCAGCGCCACTTCTGGCTTTTTCTGAGTAGTTTGTTGGAGATAGAGTCTCAAGACTTTCCTGTTGCCCTGGCTTGGAACTGTGATCCTCAGATCTCAGTTTCCCTAGTAGCTAGGATTACAGGCATGAGCCACCAGCAGCTGGCTCATAAGTCCTTTTATGTGACTCTGGAAGTTTGATAGCTTGCTTGTCAGATGATAGAACAAGATGCTCTAGCCTTACCTGAGTTAGCCTTGGACCCCCTTGTCAAGATTACAAATTTTACTTAAAAGAGAAAGAAATGAGACTTAGCTCAGCAGGAGAATATTCATCTAGCATTCACAAAGCTCTGGGTTTGATCATTAGAACCTAAAAAATCCTAAACTCTCCTGTCTGAGCACTCACACCTGTAATCCAGGCTACTCAGGAGATTAAGATCTGAGAGATCTCTGTTTGAAGTCAGACTAGACAAAAAGTTTTTTAGACTTTTTATATCCAATTAACTATTAAAAAGCCTGATTGGGAGCATGGCTCAAACGTCAGTTCACTTTTGGAATATCTGCTTGTAGTGCCTCAGATCCTGTACATTAAAGGGCTTATTCCCTAAAACTGTTTCATCTGCTGATGCCTGTTGGTGGTAAGTCTGGACTTTCTATACTTTTGATTGACTGACTATAAGTTGAGGATTCCCAAAACTTGGTTTCATAATTTTTTTTTTTTTGCCGGTTGTGGGGCCTGAACTCTGGTCCTGGGCGCTGTCCCTCAGCTCTTCAGCTCAAGGCTAGCGCTCTACCACTTGAGTCACAGCGCCACTTCCAGCTTTTTTCTTTTTGCTTATGTGGTGCTGAGGAATCGAACCCAGAGCCTCATGCATGCAAGGCAAGCGCTCTACCACTGAGCCACCTTCCCAGCCGCATGATTTGTTAAAATAGTTCACAGAATGTAGTGAATGTAGCATATGTTGGCTAATTATAAACATACAGGAAATTATAAGTGATGAAGAGATGAAGATAGAGTCATGTGCTTGTCTGTATTCCCAGAGTCCTACAACTGGAGTCAAATGACTCAAAGCATATTTTAAAAAAGCATAGTATTGGATCCCAAAGGGCCCTATGTGCAGGAGCTTCTGTCTGTGGAGTCATATTCTCCCTCCATTTGGTATATTCACCAATCCCCAAACTCAGCACATCTTATTGTTCAAGTGTATTTAAACTATTTCTTAGTGCCTCATGTTTGTAATTCTAGTTATTCAGGAGCCTGAGATCTGAGGATCACGTGATCCTGAGCAGGAAACACTATCCTCTTATCTCCAGTTAACTACAAGAAGTTGGAAGTGGAACAGTGGCTCAGAGGGTAAAGCTCTAGCCTTGAGTGGAAAAAGCTAATAGTACCCAGGCCCTGAGTTCAACGACATAATACAAAACACCCAACTCTATTTCAAGGGGAAAAAGAAAGAATGTAAATTAACTAGTTTCCTAATCTTCAGGTTGGAAAGGGACTAAAAATCCTCTAACTGTGTAATTATTTGGTTGTCTATGGACTATCCATCCCATCCTGAAGCTATGGGTGCCTGCTTTAAGTCACCTCATTAGCATAATCTCAGGTGTGATCCAATCACTTCAGAAATTCCAGGAGTCGGGCTGGGAAGGTGGCTCAGTGGTAGAGTGCTTGCCTTGCATGCCTGAGGCCCTGGGTTCAATTCCTCAGCACCTCATAAGCAAAATGAAAAAAGCCGGAAGTGGCTCTGTGGCTCAAGTGGTAGAGGACTAGCCTTGAGCTGAAGAGCTGAGGGACAGCGCCTAGGCCCAGAGTTCAGGCCCTACAACTGGACCCCCCAAAAAACAACAATAACAACAACAAAAAACAAATTCCAGGAGTCCTTTTTTTTTTTTTTTTCTTTGTGCCAGTCCTGGGGCTTGAATTCAGGGCCTAGGCACTGTCCCTGAGCTTCTTTTGCTCAAGGCTAGCATGAGCCACATCACCACTTCTGGCCTTTTCTGTTTATATGATACTGAGGAATCGATCCCAGGGCTTCATGCATGTAGGCAAGCACTGTACACTAAGCCACATTCCCAGCCCCTCCAAGAGTCTTAAGAGCTCTGTGTCAGGAACTGGGGACAAAAGTCAAGTATATATTTTTTATTTTATAATACATATGCTTGAAAACAGGCTCTGTTGGAGAATGGTCCTGGTAGGAGGGGCAAGGGCTAAGGAAGAGAGTGAATGAGGATGAATATGGTCAAAGTAGTTTATTTGCCATGTATGAAAATAGAACAGGGAAACCTGTTGAAGTTATTTCAGGAAGAGGGGGAATAGGGTAAGGTTGAGTGATAGAGAGGGTGAGTGATGAAGATATATAGTGTGTATGGGAATATCACAGTGAAATCCCCCTTGTACAACCTATGTATGCTAATAAATTAAAACTTATACACACTTGTAAAATAATCCAAAAATATATCTAATATATAGCATGAGCAGGATCAGACAAAATTTTAATTTACCTTTCTTACTCTGTCATGTATTTTTTTTCTAATATAACGATCACAGTCTGTGTAAACTCCTGGAAATTGACTAGTTTGTTACATAGCCAGAGCTTCCTAATGGCCATTATTTTGGTAAACTGGGTTTAGCGAAGTGTGTTTGGAAATTGATGCCAAAATAACAATAAAAGTCTAAAGATGGAAAAAGTTAGTTTTATACTTCCCTAATGGTTTAGAAAAGAAAGAACTCTCTTCTAGGAAGGTAACTCAGTGGTAGAGTACTTGCCTAGTATGTGTAGCCCCTGGGTTTAATCCCAGCACTGAAGGAAAAAAGAACATGAGAGAACCTTTGTATAACTTTTACTTGTTACTTGTGTTGGACATTTCAGTTTTTTTTAATTTGAAAAATTGTATTGAAAAATACATTTTTCTGTTTTCGATTCCCTTTCACAGGATCTTCTTGTGCCTCTAGTATAGTCTCTCACATATTTAAATAAAAATTAGTATAGCAGGTTTTTTTTTTTTTTTTGTATGTGTGTGTACTGGTACTGGAGATAGAATTGAGGTCCTTATACTCTGTCTTGGCTGGTATTCTACCACTTGAGCCACACTTTAGTCTAACATGTTTTTTTCCTGGATAATTAGAGATAGAATCTTGAACACTTTCCTCTCTGGGTGGGTAAACCTCAGCTTTAGTTCTCAGATCTCATTCTCCTGCATAGAAAGGATTATAGTTATGAGCCACCAACACCTGACTTCCAGTGACTTCTAACAGTGACAAATGCAGCTACAGCCTGCCTTACATTTGGATTGCTTAACTATAGCATATAGAGAGCCTCATCTCAGATTCTTCTAACTATATCAGTCATTTTTTTTTGTATACTTGTTTATTTTATTTTTTTGTGCTGGTTCTAGGGCTTGAACGCTGTCTCTGAGCTGTTGTGCTCTACTACTTGAGCCACAGGTCCACTCTGGCTTTTGTTTTGTTTTGTTAGTGAGTCTGAACAGACTTTCCTGCCTAGGCTGGCTTTGAACTGCAGTCCTCAGATCTCAGCTGTCTTAATAGCTAGGATTACAGGCATGAGTCCTGGCACTTTACATCTTTTCCTTTTTTTTTTTTTTGGTTGGTCATGGGGCTTGAACTCTGAGCCTGGGCGCTGTCCTTCAGCTCAGAGAGTGCTGTACTGCTTGAGCCACAGGGCCACTTCCGGTTTTCAGCAGTTAATTGAAGATAAGAGTCTCACTGACTTTCCTGCCTGGGCTAGCTTAGATCTCAGCCTCCTGAGTAGCTAGGATTACAGGCATGAGCCACTGGTGGCCGGCATCTTTTCCTTTTTAAATAAAGGATTTTTATGTTTTCTAACCTGGTCTAAAACTCCGAGGGTCAATTGAGCCTTCTCTTTCTGCTTCTAAAGTATGTGGGTCTGTAGGTACCCACTTATTTAGTTTTTATTTTTTTTAATTAGTGCAAAACTCAAAAATATTGTGGCAGGATTTTAACAGTTAAAGTGCACTTTTGAAGAAGTCGCATATTTGATGGAATGAGGAAGATCCCTTGTTATTCAGAAGTCATTTTGTGAGTGGTGTTCTAGAATATTTTTGTTGCAATTAGTGCAGATGCTATTTCCATATTTTTATTAGTTTTGTAGTTTGAGGGAATATATTGTGCTTTTGGTAATCTGAAAAAAATTGATTTTCTCCCCTTCCCCCCTTTTTTTAAATAGAGATGTGAACTGTGTCCCCATAAAGATGGAGCTTTAAAAAGAACAGATAATGGGGGTAAGTACTGAGATTTTTGAAAAAAAATTATTGAATATTGGTGTGGTAAAGCATTTTTTAAAAAACATCTGGTAGTTCTTTTTTTTTTTTTTAAATCAAGTTGAGCAGTGTTTTCTACTCATATTAACTGTAATGACTGGGAGCTGTTGGCTCATACCTCTAATCCTAGGAACTCAGGAAGCTGAGATCTGAGGCATTTTGGAGTCAGCTTGGTCAGCCAAATGCAAGAGATTTATCTCTAGTTAACCAGCAAAAAGCTAGAAGTAGAGGAGTAGCTCAAGTGATAGAGCGTGAGTTCTGAGTGGAAAAAGCTGAATGAAAGCATGAGGCAGGCCCTGAGTTCAATCCCTAAGAAAGGCATAAAAGAAAGTAAAGGAGAAAGCAGTAATGGACCTGGTTGATTTGATTTGAAACAAGATCTTGCTATGTAGTCTAAATGGGCCTCAAACTTAGGCTCTTCTGATCTCTTCTTCACATGATGTGTACTGTCATGTCAACTTAGATCATTTTAATTTTATGAAATTAAATTGTTTACTGTTCAATTATTAACAATACTGGAATTTATTTAATTCATTTGTGACAAGTTTTTACTATGTAGCCCAGGCTGGCCTGAAACTGAAAATAATTTTCCCTCAGCCTCCTGAGTTCTTAGACTGTAGTTAAAACAGGTTTTCTTTGTGGGTAAACTTGAATTGTTTTTTATTTTATGCAGACTGATCTACATACTTATAATTAAAAATCTATGACAAGATCTTACTATGTACTCCAGTCTGGCCTTAGTCTCTAGATCCTTCTGCCTCAGCATTCCAAGTACTGGGATTATAATCATTTACTACTACTCCTAGCTTGGTGTTCTTCCCTGAGGATTTTTGTGTATTAGGTTTGAGCATTTCCAATCAGAAAAGTCTTTAATCTTAAATACTCCCAAATCCAAAACTTTTTTTTTTTGGTGCCTGTCCGGGGCTTGAACTTGGGGCCTGGGCACTGTTCCTAAGCCTAATTTACTCAAGGCTAGTGCTCTATCACTTGAGCCAAAGTTACACTTCGAGTTTTTTTATGGCTAAATGACATTTCCTGTGTGTATGTATATGTGAGTGTGCACTTTATTCGTTCATCTGATGTTGGGTACATTTGCTGATTCTATATCATTGGCCATTGTGACTAGTACTACAGTATGCTGGTATCTTTCTGGTAAATTGGTTTAGTCTTTTGAGAAAACATCACACTGATTTCCATAGTTGTACTAGTTTACATTTCATAACAGGGCTTGAAGGGTATTCTCCACCCCAATCTTAGCCAGCATTTGTTGTTTTCTTGATGGATGCCTTTCTGACTGGGATGCGATGTAATTTTAATGTGATTCTGATTTGCATTTCCTTTGGCTAATATGTTGAACATTTCTTCATGAATCTGTTAGCCATTTGTATTTCTTCTTGTGAGAATTGTCCAGTTCACTAACTGTTCACTTTTATTTATTCTCTTGCTATTTAATTTTTTCTTTGTAGATTCTGAGTATTAATCCTTTATTTGTTGAATACCTGGCAAAGATTTTCTACCATTTTGTGGGTCCTCTCTTGGTTCTGGTGATGTGGTTTTTTTATTTTTTATTTTTATTTTTTGCTGCTGGTACTAGAACTTGAACTCTGGGTCTGGGTGCTGTCCTTTAGCTTCTTTTGCTCAAGTTGTAGCACTCTGCCACTTGAGCCACACCTTCACTTAATTGGAGATAAGAGTCTCATGGGCTTTCCTGCCTGGGCTGGCTTTGAACTACCACCCTCAGATATCAGACTCCAGAGAAGTTAAGATTATAGGTATGAAGCACTGGTGCCCTGTATTGTATGATGGTTTCTTCTGCTGGGTAGAAACTCTGATATAGTCTCATTTATTAGTTCTCACTCTTATCACCTGGACAGCTGTTGTTCTATATCTATAGCCTCCGTGGTTTTCTCCATGCTATCTTATCCTTTATAAACTTTAAAAAACGTTGTAACTTTTTGGCTGTTTTGCAGTAATCTTAGCTTAAAAAATTATCTGTTCCAAAATATTTTCTGTGAATGATACCGTCTCACAGAAGAAAATTTCTTTATTCTATAAGCTTTGTTCTGTATTTAAAATTTTTGTAGTTTTATTTATTTTTTAAACCTGTTGCTAAAAAATAAAGAAGAAGTGATGTGCCAGTTGCTTATTCCTGTAATCTAGCTTCTTGAAGGAGCTGAGAAAAGAAGAATCATGGTTTGAGGTTTGAAAAGTATACTTTAAGTCTAAAATGTTTAGTACAGTAAATGCATAAACGATTAATATAATTTTATGATCACTATCAAGTGTTATGTAGTATACATTGTTTTGCATATTTCTGTACAACTGGCAGCAAGGTAAGTTTGCTTAGATCAGCATTACCACAAATGCTTCACAACATTGTACTGGAACATTTTGATGGCTATGACATTACTATGCTATAGGAAATATTTCCCTGCGTAACAGTATTATGGGACCATGGTTGTAAAGGTAGTTTGTCTTTGAAATGTTTTTATGTTACACGTGACTGTAACTGAAACTGAAAATATGTTGTTAGATTTAAACTGTTGAATGTAATAACTTAAGAATTAGCTGTTTACTCTCATGTTACCATTGTTTACTTGAGTCCTATAGCTTCTGTGAGAGTATGGTTTATATTGCTAGCCTGGTAGAAGCTCACAATTCTAAATTTTCAAGTACAATTCCTACTGAACTCATATTACTGTCTTGCCATTGCAGAGTTGAAAAATGATATGTCAAATTGAAATTTTGAATCTGTGCTAAATATCCCTTATATACGATAAGTAGCGTCTTTCATTGTTTAATAGTTTATCTTTTGTCTTGCCTTTTGATGTTAGACTTAGGAGTATTGAAAATTTTGGGCCATTTTTTTTTTCATACTTTCTCTCTGCCTCTTTTTGTTGTTCCTCTACTTCTGAATATCCCATTACACATATGTTTGCAGGTGCGATGGTGTCCTACAGATTGCTTAGGCACAGTTTTGTTTTTTAGTCAAGGCTCCTCAGGCTAGATAATTTTAATTAGTTTATCTTCAAGGTTGCTCATTTATTTTTTTCTTCTGCCCACTCGGGTTTAGTTTTGCTGCTTGCTTTATGGTAAAGTCTTTTTTTCCTCCTTGTAGTGCTGAGGATTGAACCCAGGGCCTTGTTTTTTGTTTTTGTTTTTTCCTTCCAAATTCATTATTGTGATTAAGTGATTACATAAATTTCCCAAATTTCACAGTATTGTGGGATAGTGATGCTTAATTAAAGTCACAAATACATTCTAACTTTCATGGGGCAAATTGCCTATTGTGGTCTATAACATTTATGAGTTCTATGAGTTTTGACAATATAGTTATTCCACATTGGGTGATAGGTACATTTCTTTTGTTTTGCATAGCATCAGCTGTTCCCTCTTTCCCACTCGTTCCCTCCTTCCCATCACTGCCATTGAGTTGCTTAGTTCGTTTTGATGGGTCCCGCTATTGTATATTTTCCCCTGATTACCTCTAGCTCTTTGTGGTCCCCTGGTTTCCCTCTGGTGTGCACATATATACCATATATATGTGATCAACAGCATGGAATCCAGGGCTTTGTACAAGCTCAAGTGCTCTTCCACTGGTACATCCTCAAGCCCTTAAAGCTGTTTTTGTTTTTTTGTTTGAACTCAGGGCCTTATGCTTATTTGTCTTGCTTGTTTAGCCGGCATTTTACCACTTAAGCAATGCCTTTAGTTATGCTTTTTACTGATTATTTGGAGATGGAATCTTACATGCTTTCCTCCTGGAACTGATTTCAAAATGGGATCTTTTGGTTCTCAGCCTCCTGAGTACCTAGGCATATAGACAGACCAGCTATAAGGCTATTTAAATTTTTTTTAAAGACTTCAACGTTTGTTCTGTGTTATGTATAATTGTTGAAGCCTATGTATCTTCCTTTGTCTTCATTTATTGTTTTACAAAGATTTCCTTGAATATCAGTTGCCAGACAGAGAAAACAAAAACAGGAATGCCTCTTAGGGTGTTTGCAGATGGGGGAGGGGAGAATTCTTTCAGTGCTTTATTCCTTGCTCTTTTCCTCACTGTCTGCTTGCACTATACTTAGATTACAACTAAAAATGGAAGTTTAGTCTTTAGAGTAATTTCTGGGATTAGTTCTACTTTAGGCATACCTATGGCTGTACATCTTCCAGCACACTTAGCTGTTTTTGAAAGTACCAATTTCCCAGAAAATCTTTCTTAGTTTTTTCTTCTAGGCTTTTAACAATCTATTGTATGTCTCAACTGTAATCTTTTCTGCCAGGCTCTGTATGTTGTATGCCTTACAATGATTTTGAGTGCCACTTACCTGTTCTTAATGTGGTTTGAGAGAAAAGAAAACATATTGCCTCAGTCAGACTCTTTAGAATAGGGATGTAGACAATTCTTTGAACCTAAATTTTCCCTGTTCCTTCTGAAATCAAAGACTAGGGAAATAGCTTTTGTCTTCAACCTAGGTCAAGGGAAGATAAAGATGAAAAAGATTTCCTGTTCTAAAAATCATTGTTCTCTTGGTTATTGTTTTCTAGAGTGATTTTTGGTAAGATGGGCTTTGTGAATTCCTGCTTAATTAAAAAAAAAGCTTGTATTCTCTTGGAGTTGCCTTCTTCACTGTTTTGTTGATATTCTATATATTATGTGTACCATACATACATACATACACACATACATACATACATACAGTATATGTGTGTGTGTGTATGTGTGTGTGTGAGGGCTCATATGTGCATGCGCATGCATGCATGTTGGCACTGAGGCTTGATTTAGGGCCTAGCAGCGATCCCTTATCTTTTTTACTGAAGGTTAGTACACTTGAGTTCCATTTCTGTTTTTTTGTTTTTGTTTTTGTTTTTGGTAGTTAATTGGAGATCAAAGTCTCATGCACTATGCCATCTGAGCTTGCTTCAATCCTCAGATCTCAGTCTCTTGAGTAGCTGGGATTACAGATGTGAGCCACCAGCTCCTCCTAGATATATTTTTACTTTTCTGCTCCCTTCCCTTTTGTTTTTGGTGGTTTTGAGGCTCAAGCCTAGGGCCTTGCATGTGTTAGGCAAACACTGTCATTGAGCTACGTTGCCAAATCTCCAAGATTTTTAAAAATAATTTAGTGAATTCAGTCTATACACTCTGAAGGCTCTACCAGGCAATATTTTACTTTTTAAGATAAGCAGTTATAAATATAAGCAGTTCTGCATTTTAAATGAAATAAGGCATAATTATTTTATATGGCCAATAGCTTATGAAATGGTAGCCCTCTGTACAATATCTTAATAATAATAATGACAGCTTTAGACATTTTTTCCTGTTATCTGAAGAAATTCTCTTGTATTCTTGTAGTGTGTTTCAGAGCATTTTCTGGCTTTATATAGTTACTTGATAATTTGCTGTTTGATTGTTTATCTATTTTGCTTTGCATTTCTACAAGTTTTTAATATGGTCAGTATGTGGATTTACTTTTACTTACTCTGAGTTTATACTCAGCACCTTGTTGACTTGTATTACCTGTTTTTTTGGTCGGTCATAGGGCTTATACTTGGGGCCTGGGCACTGTCCCTCAGCTCTTTTTTTTGTCGGTCGTGGGGCTTGAACTCTGGGCCTGGGCGCTGTCCCTCAGCTCTTCAGCTCAAGGCGAGCACTCTACCACTTGAGCTACAGTGCCACTTCCGGTTTTCTGGTGGTTTATTGGAGATAAGAGTCTCACAGTCTCTCCTGCCCGGGCTGGCTTTGAACCATGATCCTCAGATCTCAGCCTCCTGAGTAGCTAGGATTACAGGCGTGTGCCACCAGCGCCCGGCTTGTCCCTCAGCTCTTTTGCTCAAGTGTAGCACTCTACCACTTTGAGCCACAGTACCACTTCCAGTTTCCTGATGATAACTGGAGCTAAGAGTTCCATGGACTTTCCTGCCCGGGCCTGGCTCTGAACCACTATCTTCAGATCTCAGCCTCCTGAGTAGTAGCTAGGATTACAGGCATGAGCCACCAGTACCCGCCTACCATTTGTTTTTGTGTCATATTCTCATATTTCTCTAACTACATGTATATTAAAGTTATAACTATTTCATTCTACTGTGTAGGTATTTTCTTTTTTATTTATTTATTTTTATTTATTTTTTTTGGGGTCCGGTTGTGGGGCCTGAACTTTGGACCTGGGCGCTGGCCCTCAGCTCTTCAGCCCAAGGCTAGCACTCTACCACTTGAGCCACAGCGTCACTTCCGGCTTTTTTTCTTTTCTTTTTTTTTTTTTTTTTTGTCGGTCATGGGGCTTGAACTCTGGGCCTGGGCGTTGTCCCTCAGCTCTTCAGCTCAAGGCGAGCGCTCTACCACTTGAGCTACAGCGCCACTTCCTTCTGGCTTTTTTTCTTTTGTGCTTATATGGTGCTGAGGAATCTAACCCAGAGCCTCATGCATGCAAGGCAAGCGCTCTACCACTGAGCCACCTTCCTAGCCCTGTGTAGGTATTTTCTTCTGACCTATTTTGTTGCCCATTAATTTCCTTCCTTCCTTCCTGTCTGTCTGTCTGTCTGTCTTGTTGGTGGTGGGGCTTGAACTCTGGGCTTGGGTGCTGTCCCTCAGCTCTTCAGCTCAAGGCGAGTGCTCTACTGCTTAAGCCACAGAGCCACTTCCGGTTTTCTAGTGGTTTATTGGAGATAAGAGTCCCACAGACTTTCCTGGCTGGGCTGGCTTTGAACCTCTATCCTCAGATCCCAGCCTCCTGAGTAGCTAGGATTACAGGTGTGAGCCACCGACGCCCGGCAATTTCTTTTTTATTCATATTCAGTATTGTTAATCTTCCATTGATTTCCTAATTTCTGATTTTTCTTCTAGAATTACTATTTATAGTTTTCAGTTTTTAGAAGCAGTTTTTAATTTTGCTGTATACATATTTTATCACTAAGTGTATTTTAAAACCTTTACTTATTTTTTAAAATATAATTTCGTTGTTATTATTAAGGTATTGTACAGAGGGCTACCATTTCATAAGTCAGGTATTGAGTACATTTCATCTTTTAGACAGTGTTACTTACTCCTTTCTTCCCTTTCCCCCAGTTTCCCCTACCATTCCTGCCCACAAGTTACATAGGTAAACTTTGCTTATTTTGAAAACCTTTATCTGATATTAAAATACAGATCTGTTTTGATTTTTTTGTTGTTGTTGCCTGTTTTCATTCATGGTATCTTGTCTCTCAAGTGTTTGGTGCTTTTGGTTGTTTTGGAAATTTTGATTAACAAATTGTAAAAATTATTTGTGGCCAACTTGTTACTGTTTTCCTTTTGGTATTTATCGGACATCTGTAGTTTAGTACTACCTTAGTCAGGTTTTAGAGTGTGGGATGTTCAAGGCCCAGGATGGTCTTTGAGGACCTCTGTACTTTTAGTTCTCAATCCTTTTAGTCCTTCAGTAGTGCAGTTGTAATGGAGTGAGGAGTTTATTTTTTATTTTTCCCCTTCCCTTTGTTGTAGTAGGGTTTGAACTCTGGGACTTGTGCTTTATAAGCAGTCACTGTACTACTTGAACTGTATTTCCAGTTGATTTTCCAGTTTTATAGTAACTTTTCACTTTTTCATTAGTTTTTGATATCTTCAGTCATCTTTTTAACAAAACATTGATATTTAGTATCAATTGTGAAAATATTTCAAATGACAATTTAAAATAGTAAAATTATGTTAATACACCATTCAAAATATTAATACTATAAATTATTGACATAAGATTAAAAATGTTTAAAAATGTTAATACCTTTTTTTTTTTCTTGCTGGTCCTGGGGTTTGAACTTGGGGCCTGAGGGCTGCCCCAAGCTGCTTCTGCATTGTAGGCTAGTGCTCTACACTTGAGCCATAGTGCAACTTCAGTGTTTTCTGAGTAGTTTATTGGAGATAAGAGTCTCATGGAGGGCTGGGAAGGTGGCTTAGTGGTAGAGTGCTTGCCTTGCATGCCTGAGGCCCTGGGTTCGATTCCTCAGCACCATATAAGCAAAAAGAAAAAAGCTGGAAGTGGCACTGTGGCTCAAGTGGTAGAGTGCTAGCCTTGAGCTGAAGAGCTGAGGGACGGCGCCCAGGCCCAGAGTTCAGGTCCCAAGACCGGACCAAAAAAAAAAAATACTCTGTCGTTAAGTTACATCCCTAGCTCTACATCTCCTTTTATAGGCAAGTGCTTTACCACTGAATGACACCCACAGCCCTTAAAACATTTTAAGTGTAAAGTTATTAAATTCATCCGTCCATCTATCCATCCATCCACCTATCCACTCTTCCATCTATCAATTTGATCATAAGTCTGAGAATAGAATCTAGAGCTTTGTAAGTGCACTACCACTGAGTCATTCCACTAAAACAGTTTAAAGTGGTTTCCAAAAGTAGTATTGATATGAGTTTATTTTGCCTTTGTAAAGAAGTAGCATCTGGGCATGTAACTACTCAGGAAGATGAGGCAAGCAGATTTCCTCTTCAAAGCCAGCTTGGGCAAAGTTAGGGAGACTCACTTGCTTTTGTTTATATTATTATGTATAATACTGGAGAAAGGAGAATTGATTAGCAACCCTTGTTCATGGTGGTTTGACTGTTGTGCAGAAACTAATGAAAATGTATTTGTAGTTCATTTGCTTAGTCATCTTAAAAAGCTCTTTTCCAGAAGTATTAACTATTTTTGATAAAACTAAAAAAAATGCCTGCCTACCTATTCATATTTATGTATTTACTTTTAGGTTGGGCTCATGTGGTTTGTGCCCTGTACATCCCAGAGGTACAATTTGCCAATGTTTCTACAATGGAGCCAATCGTTTTACAGTCTGTCCCGCATGATCGTTACAATAAGGTACAGTGGATATTACTTTATTACTGTTTGAATATCAGGTTTTTTGTTTGGAAATTAGGAGATGGAAAGTAGAGGCTTAAAAAAAAAACAACAAGAAAACTTTTAAGCTTAGAAATTCCAGAGAGATTTGGGGGGAAAAATAGACTTAAAGTCCTATAATGCAGTTATTAAAATGTATTACTAAGGTTATGGGACTATAAAACTCACAAAATTGTGTCTTTTTTATTTTAATGTAGGTATTATCTTAATGTTTATAGGATATTTTAATCATTACACATTTGTCGTTTAAAAATTACTGTCTTTGGGCTGGAGTCCTGGCTCAAGTGTCGAACACATATCTAGCAAATATGAGGCCCTAAGTTCAAACCCATTAACCCCCCTCCCAAAAGAAATTAGTGACCATTTTTGCTCTTTCAAGTGCCAGAGTTTTATTAGATTTCAGTTGATCATGAGTTGTCATACATTCATTATGATATGATGCATTCTGTCTTAAAAAATAATCCTGAGCCAGGTGCCAGTAATCATGCCTATAATTCTATTTACTTAGAAGGCAGAGATCTGAAGATCATGGCTTAAGGCCAGCCTGAGAAGGAAAGCCTGTGAGACTTTAAACTCTAATAAACTATCAAACAAGCTAGAAATGGAGCTGTGTCTTAAGTGATAGAGTGCTATACTTGAGCACAAAAACCCAAAAAACCTCAGGGATAGTAGGGTGCCAGTGGCTCAGCCTGTAATGCTAGCTACTTAGGAGGCTGAGATCTGAGAATCAACTGCAGTTCCTTGACAGCCCAGGCAGGAAATTCCATGAGACTCTTATCTCTAATTAACCACCAGAAAACTGGAAGTGGCACTTTGGCTCAAAGTAGACTCCTAGCCTAGCCTAGAGTGAAAAAACTCGGACTGGGCCCAGGCTCTGAGAGCAAGCCCCAGGACAGCACAAACAACGCCCCCTCACCCCCCCCCCCCAAACCCCAATTCTGTACCAGAAAATTACATATCTTCTCTCAAAGTCAGATGTCAAAATTTGATTTTACTTTTGAGTACAGTGGTGTCCACTTGTAGTCCCAGGTACAAGTGAAGTTGAGGGAGGAGGATGACTTGAATTCAGGGCCAGCATAGTTAGTATACCATATTATTGTTCCACCATCTACTTCCTGTTACTTTCTACTTTCTGTTATACATGTGGCTTTAAACATAGTAATATATATCGAAGGTAAATGTTCCATCTTGGAAGACTCACTGTAGTCAATTTTGAGATTTCAAATTTTTTTCATGTTATATTTTATATGGTTTAAATTATTAAAACATTTGGAATTGCAAAGAGGTATAAGGATATGACAAAAAATTTTCCCCCTCTCCCTTCTTCCTTTTTTTTTTCTTCTGATACCAGGACTCAAACTCAGTACAAAACACTCATTGGCTAGTGCTCTACCAATTGAGCCATACCTCCAACTCCTTTCTTTCTCTTTTTTGGTTGGTCGTGGGGCTTGAACTTTGGGTCTGGGCACTGTTCTTCAGCTCCAGGCCAGCACTCTACCGCCTGAGCCACAGCACCACTTCCGGTTTTCTAGTGATTTATTGGAGATAAGAGTCTCATGGAGTTTCCTGTCCGGGATGGCTTTGAACCACGATTCTCACATCTCAGCCTACCGAGTAGCTAGGATTACAGGCGATTACAGGCGAGAGCCACGACGCTCTTTCTCTTTTTGTTCCCATCCTGTGGCTTAAGGGCCTGAGCTTTGTATTTGAGCCATAGCCCCACTTCTAGATTTTTTTGGTGCTTAACTGGAGACGAGTCTTAAGAACTTTCCTGTGAGGGCTAGCTTTGAGCCACAGATCTCTATTGAGCCACCAGTGCCGTCTGACAAACACCTTTATAAAGTGTCCTTTGAGATACTTGTAGATTTTCTTTTGTGCATTTTTGCCAATATATAGGTTTAGATCATACTGTTTATTCACTTTTTGAATCCCCCCTACCTGGCTGTTGCTGGCATCAAACCTGGGGCCTTGCACATGGTAGGCAGGCAGGTACTCTGAGTTATACCAGTACTTTGCAGTTTTGTTTTTTTTTTTTGGTCGGTTGTGGGGCTTGAACTCTGGGCTTGGGTGCTGTCCCTGTGCTCTTCAGCTCAAGGGGAGCGCTCTACCGCCTAAACCACAGCGCCACTTCCGGTTTTCTAGTGGTTTACTGGAGAAGAGTCTCACCGACTTTACTGCCCGGACTTTTGAACCGTGATCCTCAGATCTCAGCCTCCTGAGTAGCTAGGATTATAGGAGTAAGCCCAGTTTATTAATCTTAAACATACATATATAGGTATGTATTTTCCTTTTTTTTTCTCCCCCCCTTGGTCCTGGGCTTTCCAGGAAGGCTGGCAAACTCCTCCTGGCTAAGTCTCCACCCAGACCTCGGGCAATGCGGATATGACCTCCTCCAGGTGTGCCAGTTGCCTAGGTAACAAAGGTTGTGGGCGGAGACTTAGCCAAGAGGAGGGAGGAGTCTGCCTGCCTTCCTTGTGTTCCTTACAGGCATGGAATCAAGGCCTGGATGCTGTCCCTAAGCTTCTTTGTGCTCAAGACTAGTACTTTCCCACTTGAGTCACAGTACCACTTCCAGCCTTTTCTGAGTAGTTTATTGGAGATACGAGTCTCACGGACTTTTCTGTCTGGGTTGGCTTCCAACTGTGATCCTCAGATCTCAGCCTCCAGAGTCGCTAGGATTATAGGTGTGAATGACCAGTGCCTGGCCCTAAACATAATTTTTTGTGTGAAAATAAAGATATTTCTGCTGTATTTTCTTGTGGCTACTTAGTGTTACTAGATTTAATGAACTGTAATTAGTAATTAAGCTACCTACTACTTCTACTACTACTACTACTACTACTGCTACTGTTTGTAGCCCAGATTGGCCTCCTTTATATTGTTTAGCTTGTGGATTATTGGCATGAATCAGTCTGACTAGCAGTGACTTATTGGATAGCCTATTTAGGTGTCTGGCATGTATTTTACACTATTAGAATCTGTGTAAAGGGTGTGAAAAATATTTTGGAAGCTTCATTGTACTGTGTGAAATTGCCCTCTAGGATGCAGTTGCCAACTCACACTACATTAGCAGTGTTTAAAATTGCTCTTAACTGTGTTCATGTTAAGTGCGTTGTGTGCTACCATTAAAAATGCTTTTAGATGTTTTTCATATATGTTAATTACCCTTGCATGTTTATTTGTTTATGCTAATGTAACTTGTGTTTTATGAGTTTTTAAATTTTAATTATTTTTCTTTTTAAATTGAAAACTGTATTTGAATGCTAAATATTCATCTTTACAATAAACAAATAGAGTAATGGTAAGTCATACTAAAGCAAAATACTTCCAATAAACATTGTTATTCTGTTTTGGCACAGTTTAGAGTTTTTCTTTCATCAAACAAGGTTATATCTAAACAAAAGTTCAAAACAGCCATTGTTTTAAACAAAAAGGTAATCATAAAACTTTAATCATGAACTTTAATCACTAAAGACTGAATAGCTAGTTGATAGAAATCTCATAGGATTTGTTAAAATCAGTCACATCTAATGACACAACTGAAATGTTCTTATAAAATATCATGTGAAGAAAAGTATCACTTCATTCATGGACAGTCTGACAAGGTACTATAAAAAGTGTTTCCTGAGACATAAGGACATTTAACATTATTCTTCTTGAATTCTTTACAGTTTATAACTTTCTATACAGTAAATAAATTTCATTTGATACTTTTTTTGTTTTTGGCATGAAATTATGTTCTCAATTTACTGTTTTTATTTTTGCCCAAAATTTATTACTTGCTTTTGTTGTTATTTTGTGGTATAGAGATTGAAATCAGAGCCTTGTACATGAAAGGCAAGTAGTGTTTTAATAAAATATACCTCAGCTTTTTTTTTTTTTGTCCGTTGTTGAATTCTGGGCTTGGGCGCTATCCCTCAGCTCTTAAGCTTAAGGCGAGTGCTCTACTGCTTGAGCTATAGCACCACTTCTGGTTTTCTGGTGGTTAATTGGAGATAAGAGTTTCCTGGATTTTCCTGCTGGGGCTGACTTTTGAACCGTGATCCTCAGATCTCAGCTCCTGAGTAGCTAGGATTGCAAGCATGAGCCACCGGCGCCTGGCCTCAGCTTTTAAACATTTGCTTTTTAACTTTCATTTGAAGTTTTTGTTATTGTTATTGCAGCAGGTTAAGTTTCTCTAGTGCAGAAGTTCAAATTTTCTTTATTGTTTCTCTTTTGATGCTATTCAATGAAAATATTTCTCTATGTATGTGTATTTGTGTGTGTGTATGTATGTGTGTTTAGTACTACATTTGTTAAAAAAGACTTGCTTTATTTTCCTTTTTGAAATGATATTAGACTTAGACTAGTAAAAAGAGACTTGCTTCCTTCCTTAAACCATTTGAGAGAAATGTACCAGTATACTCCTTCACCTCCAAATAATTGTGTGCATATTCTATTTTTTTTTTTTTTTGTTTGTAGTTTTGGGGTCCGGTCGTGGGGCCTGAACTGTGGGCTTGGGTGCTGTCCCTCAGCTCTTCAGCTTAAGGCTAGCGCTCTACCACTTGAGCCACAGCACCACTTCCGGCATTTTTTCTTTTTGCTTATGTGGTAATGAGGAATTGAACCCAGGGCCTCATGCATGCAAGGCAAATGCTCTACCACTGAGCCACCTTCCCAGCCCCGCATATTCTATTAAGAGTTTCATTTTGCATGGTTCATGTCTGTAATCCTAGCTACTCAGGAGGCTGAGATCTGAGGATCATGGTTCAAGCCTGCCCAGGCAGGAAAGTCCTTGAGACTCTAATTTCAATAAACCACTCAGAAAACAGGAAGTGGCCCTGTGGTTCAAGTGGTACTGTGCTGCCTTGAGCTGAAGAGCTGTGGGACAGTGCCCACGCCCAGAGTTCAAGCCCCAGGACCAACAACAACAACAAAAAACAACAACAAAAAAAACAAAACAAAACCATTTTTAGGCTAGA